GTGGGTAAGAGAGGGCAGCGGCGGGCAGAGGGGAGGGAGGAGGTGCGTTGCAGACAAGGAGCATCACCTTTTTGCAGTAGAAAACCACCAAAATCCAGCAAATTAAAGCATCCTTTCCGTTTAGCCCCTCGTAATACCAGCTCCCGTTTCTCTTCCAGCTGTCGGAGTTGAGCTGTCGGCTCGGGAAGGCGCCGCGATTCCAGCGCCGGAGCAGGGCGGGATGAGCAGGGGAGCGACGGATCCGCTTGGATGCAGGCAGGAGCCGTCAAGAGCGAGCGAGGTGCCAAATTAAAGCCGCTAACGCCCCCCAGCTCCGTCCCCCTGGCTTGGAACGAGTGGAAGGAGCAAAAATGGGGAGAAAAGGGGATTTTGGCCGTTACTTCCGTGGCGTTATTTCGAAACGTGGGGAAGCTGCTGCCCGGCATTGCCCAGATCCGGTGGTGATTCTCAGTGAGGTTTTGTAATTGCTGATGATAATTAGGCAGAGGTGGGGGGCAAACGCAAACATCTTCATCCCCGGCTCAATTTAATTCACTAATTGCGGTGAAATCCATGAAAACAAGCACCGCCGCATTGACGCAACCCACCCCACCCCGCACGAGGCTGTTAGGCCACATAAAAAACAAGCAAAGTGCTCTGAAAACCGCCCAAAATGATCCATTCCAGGCTTTTTTCCTTCCAATTGTTTGACCAAACAGCAGCTGCGGCGTGTTAGCCGGGCCCGTGCTCTGAGCCACATTTCCCATCGAAATAGGCCATCACCGGGGTAAATTAATTACAAATGACGCTCTAAAATGCCCCCCCATCCCCTCACTGGAATTATTTCCGGTAAGGAAAATCCTAAAATCAATAAAAATAAGTCGTCGCCGCCACGTGGATGGGCGTTTTTCGGAGGAAGCGCCGTCTGTCAGTTTAGACCAGGTAAGGATTGAACCGTTAACAGCATAAAATCGAATCGAAATGAAACCCAGCGGCTGCCTGGATCGAGCTCAGTTAGCCTCATTTTCTTAATTATTTTGCAGGCGGAAGGCTTGAAAAATCGGTTTAACCCCAAATCTGTGGTGTTTCCACCAAAACGGAGTGTTTTGGTCTTACAGTGGGAGCGCGCCGCCGGATGCGGATGGGCAAGAGTAAGCAAGAGCCGGGACACGATTGTGTGGTGACGAGCTACGACCTCGTTAATCTAATGACTCGTTATTTAACGATACCTGCACGAAACAGCAATCGATGATGTAAAGAAATACACGGTCAGGCTCCGGCAAGCCAGCAAAAAGTCAGCGTGCTCTTCAAGAGGTGCCTTCATTCCCTATCAGGGGGAACTCCCAGCCTCGTTCTGGGCTAAAACTACCAGAAACGGTTAAAAATGATGGAGTTAATTAACGACGGCATCTAGGAAACGAGGTCCCGCTTGCTTTTACACCGTTACTGCATCCAACAGGCTTCTCTTGTCCTCGATTCAGAGATCGGGAAAGAGAATGAAAGCCCTGGCGGCCGAGCGTTAAGGTCTTTCACCAAGACGTCAGCAGAATTGGCATTTCCAGTGATTTTTTTTTTTTTTTAATTATTATTTTTTAAAAAGCAGAAGGGATTCGCATTCCTTTCTGCGTGCCGAAGCGTTTCACCCCCTCGTTCCTCCGTCCACCCAAACAATCGGCGATTGATGGAGACGGCGTCTTTCGGGAGAATGAATTTCACCCCATCGCGCAGGAATCTGGCCCGGTGGTCACTCACCCTTCACTTAACGTTTTTTTTTCTGTTGTTGTTTGCATCTTATTTACGACTTTAAATTCCAACCCCAAGCTCCAGCCACGGATTTAGTTGCCAAAACACAGCCCGAGAGGGTTTTTTTAGCTTCTCCGCAGAGAGCTTTTAGCTTCTCCTTAGAGACAACGCAACATTAAAGCCCGATGGAGCCTTTTGCCACGTAACCCCTAGATTTACCCGTTTGTAGGATCTTTAAAAAATTAAATCAAGTCCCAGGCTGACATTTGACATCACCTTGATGATTCGGGTGGTTGGCAAACAGCGAGCGTCACACCTTCGCCTCGACTGAGTGCAAACCGCAGCCCCTCTTCGAGCAAAAAAAAAACCCCCGAAACCCCAAAACTCCTCCCGACCGAGACGTTTGGGAACTCAACCGTCGCTGTTTCACCCCGTCCAGTACAACAAACACTGATAACGGCGCCACGTCTTATTTTCTACCGGTCGGCGCGGTCCTACGGTTCGATCCATCGCTAAAGGCGAAGTTGATACGGGCAAGCGGCGATATAATCCGGCAGCGAGCGCTGCGTGTTTCGTCTTGGCTTCGTAGGGTGGGTGGTTGTTTTTTTTTTTTCTCCCCGGGCTGAGGGAATAGCTGGAGGTCTGCGGGGAGCGGCGCGGAGGATGAGCGCTCACGTCCCGTTTGCACGACGGGCTCTGCGGGAGGAAACAACACATCGCTGTCAGCGCGCCGGTTAAGGAAGGGTGCGCGGAGTCAAACTTGCGAGTTTGAGCTGTAATTTAAGAGCCACTTGGGAAAAATAAAAAAACCCACAAGACAAACACAAAACCACCCAAAAAATAATAATAATAATCCATTTCTCAACGTCTTTACCTTGAGTCGTCTTCACGTCAAGATTTCCTGCCTGCCCGAATCCTGTATAGATCCACCCACTCTCTCTGCTTGATGTTTCTCCATCACTTGCAGGACGTCCTCCAAAATGGACGGCCCCAAATCCACGTGGAGGGAGAGGAGGGAGCCGGCGTGGGAGAGGAAGGGCGGCTCGGCGTTGCCCTTCTCCTCGGTGAAGCCGTTTGTCGGGGCAGCGAAACGCGAGGCGCAGGGATGTGGCAGCGGGGCGGCGCTCCTGCCCTCGCCGTCCTCCTCCCCACCTTCCCGGCCTCGCACCGGCGGGGCTTTGTCATCGAGGTGCAACCGTGGCGGTTTCGGGGGGGCTTGCGCCGAGGGCCGGATCAACGCCTGCGGCCCCCCGGTGACGGGCAAACTCGCGCCCGGAGATGGTGGCCGTCCTGGAGAACTCGAACGGCGCCGCGTCGGGGCTGTCCTTGTCAGAGTCAAGGCTGCCTTCGGTCCTGGGGAGGAGATGAAACTTGCCCTGAAGGAAGGAGATGTCCCCAAACATGTCGCTCTCCCCGCCGCTGCCGATGTGAATCGTGTGCCTGAAGTCCCCCAAGGGCGGGCTGATCATGTCGGAGGAGAGGATGTCGCGGAGCTTCTCCTTCTTCCCCTTCCGGCTGCCCCTCTTCAGGTAGATCGGCACCTTGGTAGACATCGTGCCGAGGAGCAAAGCGCTTCCACGCCGACTCCAGCCAACTCAAGAGATGGTTGTCTTCCTAGACTTCAGCAACGCGGGCTTTAAAAGTAATCTGCAAAATTTAAAAAAGAAAAAAAAAAAGGAAAAATGCTTAAAAGCAAGTTATAACATGTAGGACGGAGACCCTCAACGTCAACACGTCCCAGGAAATTAATTCCAGACGCTCTCCGTTTCTCTATCTGAAGTTCGTTGGCTGCGTTATTGATAACAAAACAACTCAGGTAATTAAATCCAGGCACTCGGGGCCTCTCCTCAGGATTTGTTTCGAGGGGGAGAAAAATCAGGAACAGAGCTGGAAATCCAAGAGGATTTGCATTTTTATGGGGGAGTCGGGGTCCGGAGCTAAAGGTTGGGAGAGCACAGCGTTGGAAAGCGGCTTTTCTAGCCCAGAAGAGGAGATTTTTTCATTTCAGTTTCCTCTCCTCTTGGCCATGCATGATCCAGCCCCACCCAACAACAAGCTAAAATAAAAAATAATAGAGATTAAGGCAGGAGGGGGAAGGAAGTTGTTTTTTTTTTTTTTTTCCCCTGTTTTAGTCACATTCATTCAACTCTGACAGTTTACGCGTTCGGTTCTAGGCGTGATTTTTTTCGGCTGTGGGGAGGAATAAGGCAAAAATGGGCATTTTACGCGATAATACGTTACGTACAAGCTCGGGAGACACCTCAGAGGGACAGAAAAAGGGATGAAACAGGTTTCAGGCCACCTGAGCATTACTTTTTAAAATCAGCCAGTGGAAAGGTCTGGAGTTTTAGCCTTTTATCGCTAATTTTCTGGGGAAAAAAATCCCATCGCTCCGCGTTCCTATAAAACCGTATCCGATCTGCCGTCGACTGCAAATACAAAACAGTTTATAAGTGATTTAGAGACGGGTTTGTCCGGTGCGCTGAGCCCCGCCGCCGCTAAAGCAACCACCCGTAACAGCTTCCAGCCCGTTTTACGCTCTTTGTAACACACCTCTCGGTACAGCCGCACCTGGAAAGCGAGAGCCGGCGGTAAAACCACCGCTGAAACCACCACGGCCGAGCCCTCAAATCAACCCCTGAACCGTCCCGGCAAGACGTCACAAGTGATTCCCCGGTTGTGGTTTTCAGTCAGCTGCCACCGACAAACAAGGCGAAGCCCGGCCGGGTGTTGGGAAACAGTCGTTCCCCCTGTGTTTTACAGCCCCAGCAACCACGTCGGGCGCTTTCCCCGTCCGAAACCCGCCCCGGTTGGTGCCAAAGAGCCAGCGAAAACCAGACGGCGGCTGACGCCGGATGAATTGAGCCGGACGACCTCCCCGAGGGCTGGCATTTCAATTACAGCAGGAGCCACGCGCCCGGCGGTGTTAAAACGCCGCGTCAGTCGGCGGGCGTTGGCTCTTTGGGATCTCAAGCGCTGGGGTTTCGGGGCGGCACAGTCCCACCGAGACCGCGGAGGGCTGCTGGATCGTCCCGCCCCTCCCCTGAACCACACCTGACCGCTGCCCCTTAAATTTGTCCTTAAAACTATAACAACAATGATACACAGAGGGATGGAAATCCCACGGTCACCTTCAACCTCCCGCTGCACCATCGTTATCGTTAGGAACCGCTGCCGAAACCGCATTTGCGGTCTCATCCCGTCTACGCTGCTCGCTTTATTCCTTCCCCCCCCGCCCCAATTGCCTCTTCTCGGTGCTGAGAAACACCCGTTACATCTCCCCGCCTGTGAACAGAGACCCACGTACGCGCCGCTACAGCCAGAGACGCAACAGCGGGAGACGCTCCCGAGGTCGTGTTCGGTTGACAGTGGCCTGGGGGGGGAGGAGATAGGGCAGCGGCGGCAGATCACCCAAACAGCTCGAAATGAAGCACGGACGAGATGCCGGCGATGCCGTCAGCATCAGGAAGGCGGCGGCGGGAGGAACGCGGTCGCCGGTAATCCCGTTCCCGGCGGCTCCGGCCAGGGTAAAAATCCTGACGATGCAGAATTCAGCTTCGTTAATCCCGGGCGGATTAAAGTGGGTGGCGTAATGACAGCCTGCAGAGGCGGCGGCTGCGCCGCTCGCGTGAAATACAGGCGCCGCGAAGACATCGGGGAGGGGAGGAGAACGTGACGGCGGAGCCGGTGCCGTACGCGGAGAGAGGGGGCCTGAGGGAAGCGCTTCTCCACGGAGATCTGGATTCGGAGGGGCGCCGCTGCTCGCCAAA